GCTGAAATATAGCTCACTTAAAGCTATTGTGATGTAGACATGCGTTAAGAGAGGATTTTCCAAAATTCTCCCCCTGAAGGGACAAAATGGTGGTTCAAAGTTTGTACGGAGCACCAAGATCGCGAGGTTAATCCTTTAACTAAATATGTAAATACCTGTTTCAAGGTTTTTCAAAAAGTAAGCCTTGTAGGGGATTTTATTTTATTTACTGAAGTTGTTATTCATTCATTCATTCACTCAAAATCTAATCTAACGTGAGCGAAGGTGCGGGCAAAAGCTACCTATAATTATAAAAAAAACTATTAATTATAATAACATTGATAAGTATTATCGCAACACGTGTACGAATGAAAAGTCTATTAAGATGGCATATCGTCATGTCCTTAAATGAACTCGCTGTAGGTGACCCAAATTCTTTGACGAAATTCATCTAATGTCAAGGCCTAATCTATTTATTTTCAACAGTCGATTACGAAATAGTGATATATGTACGAAGCGTTAGTTTACTAAACGATATGTAAAGCACTGAAATTGTAGTTACTTAATATAGAGCAATAAATATGAGATATGTAAGTTAGAATTTTAATACTTTTCTCAAATATTATTTATGACGCTTTAAAGTGTTGATCAAAAATCTGTACCTGAACTTGTGAAAGTAATGTACTGCTTTGTTGTATAATTAAGCAAAGATATAATGTAAATTTTCCTATAAATTATCCGATCCAAGTATCTTTAAGAAAAGATGAGCTCGCGGGAGATTAGTATATATTAGTTAATTAATTGAAAGTAATAACAATACTTGCTAATCATTGAAAATGTCGTATTCATATTCTTATTTTGAGCATTAATAATCAAACATTTTTTTAATGAATAAAAATGTATTATTATTAAACTACTGGATTTATTTTTATCTAAAACGGCTCAGGTCTAAAACTGCCAAAAAGGGCCAAAAATTTTTTTTTCTAGTAAAATTTTCTTTAGGAGTCAATACTTATTTACTGATTTACTGATAATATTGTAAGTGAAATGGTCATACTGCTTCTACTTTTATTTAAACACCCATCGTCACTTAAATAAATTTATTATATATCTGAGATTTTTTTTATATCATGCATCAAAGTTATTAATATTATAATTTAAAAAACTACACACGGATACATTGAAAACTACGCCAACGATAAGGGTTTACTTGCGCAAATGTCAAGCGATCGACTTTGATAGCAATAATCGTACCGCATTCTTATCATTATCATTATTTATATCATTACTTATGTAAATACAGATAGGAAAATCTCCATTTTACAAAGAGTTGTGAACCTTACGCCCTTTGTAATAACGACACCGTGTATACGCGTCAACATTTTATATATTATTATTGGTTTGAATTTGCACTAGTTCGTTCGCCGCATCTGTCTTGATTACAACGCAGAGACGATTTACAGGAAGAGTTAGGTCGTGCAAAGAAAAAAAAAGTAGTGTAGAAGTGCAAAAAAGTTGTCTGTGTTTGCGTCAACTTCCCTTTTAAAGGAGTTTTTATATTGATTCGATTAACTAAATTGCACAGTTGTACCATTATCTACTGAAGTGCCTGGTTGTTGTTTAGTGAATTTACTGATTGATCTCATAAGTGCTTCTAACAAGATCTTGCTTTTGTAAATTTGAATAACTCACTTTCTTCTTCATACTTTTATCTGTGAATTTCTTTGCTAAGTATCTGACACGGGTCGTATTAGTACATATTGTTCTCGTTATTTACCTATATCATAAAGACGTATTTTATTAATAAGCGATTTAGTATTTCAATTTCATTCATTTTTCAGTAAAAGCCGTACCCCTAGAAGGAACCAATATCGAATTCGAATAGTTTGCGAGTGCGAAATGATAGTGTCAAATTTTGTATGAAATCTTGAACAGCAGCGCCATAACGTACGAAGTAAAAATCAGGACACATTTTTTTTTATCATTATCATGATAATTATTAACGTTGTCACATTTTAAGAATATCTATTGTTTATTATGTTATCAATATTCTCGTCCGTGTGGAATTACTGTCTCATAATACAAAACATGTATCGAGAGTATTAGACAGACAGTAACCATACAGTTTATAATATTTTTTGTGACCACGAAACCTGGAAAGAATCTGACACCACGCAAACTGAAACTTCAGTACTTTATGCAAAGAATGAAATAAAATTAAATATACTTTATTTAAATTTACTTATTGCAAACTCTTTTGAATCGTCCATTATTTTTTTTTTCTGCCTTCTATCTTAATGCGCTCATTAATTAATAATTAATCTGTTTATTGCGCTAATTAAACCATCGAAAAGCGAAAGTGTTTTATCTATTGTGTTCCAACCACTTAATAATTATATTTAATGGTGATTATAATTATTTAAAAATATGTCAACACAATATTCAAAGTTTGAAACCAAGGAAAGCCATAGTGATTTATATATAGTTTATAGGCAGGACGTTAACACAAAGATCAACACAATAGCAAAGTTTCTTCGAAACGGAATTCATGCGTAATTTACTAACACGATCCCTTTTCCAGTATAGACTTGGTACGCTGATTTAACAGACGATAAATTAAAGAAACTTTCATTTGAAAGTGCAAAGAATTTATCTGCTGCGTACAAGAAAAAAACAATAACGGATATAAGTTTTTACTATTATTATAGAAAAGCGTGATTTGATATAATTATGTATTCTCTTTGTTAGTCCAGACCGGCGAAAGTAGCAAAGACCAAAATACCTAATATCAAAATTGTCCAAACTATCATTAGTAAGTAATTAGACAATATACATAATCATTCCTAGAAATGTCTTCCGATTTGAGGTTTTGCGAAAGAACTATAGTGAAGTGAACTAAAATTATTTTATCGAAAGTGTCGAAGTAAAGGATCACAATAGAAACTGTCAAAGGATAATATGGAATTTTTAAAGCTGGCTTTTATGCCCATTGCTCTTACCGTTGGACTAACATGGTTTAACGTGAAAAAGTAAGTAAATACACGAGGACATTACACAAACAGTAATACCAAAAGGTTCGATGTAATAGTTACCCACAATGTCAGTTTGTAGGCTTGGTGACTCGTCATAACAATGTGTTTTTCATTACAAAGTATTCGTAGGAAGTAAATAAGCATCACAGAATAATATCAGACTTAGTTATAAACAGATTCCCATAAAATATTGTATAGTTTCACGTTTACAGAAACACTTTTTATATGTAGACCACTTAACTGAGTCCTCGCCTGCGGAGTAAAGGGCGTGGGGGAAGGCGAAAACGGGGACCGTGAGAGGTGCAGGCGGCAGGCACATTCCTGTCAAAATTACAAGGGCCCGTCGCCCGCAGCTCTCACGGCACCCGTTCTCGCCCTCCCCCACACCCTGTACCCCGCAGTCGAGGTCTCAGTTATGTGGTTTACCTATAGTAAGTAAATAAAATAACTCCTAAAAGTACATGAGGTCTTGTAACCATTTGATACTGTATAAATTTATGTAAGCTTACACTTCAAGTGGGTATAATTGTATTACAAGTATATTTTTTGTAAAATTTATAGTATAAAAAAGAATACCTACATATTTAGAAGACACGTTGACACACAGACTAGTAAAAAACTTGCAAATGTAATTTCGCAACTTTTTATCTTTCATCTGGTCATTGACTCTGCAAAGTGACTGACCGTTAGCAATAGTTATTTATTATACAAGAGTGGAAAGTTCCTTTTTAACCGCGTGCTCGATTTGGATGACCGAGCAAGCGAAGGATTCTAAAGTTGAATCACGAGCGCAGCGAGTGATTCTAAATTAGAATCCTGAGCGTCAGCGAGGGAAACAAACGAGCACAAGGTGAAAAATCTTTCCACTCGAGTGCAATACGTAACTTTTCATCCCACCTCAGCGAGGAAATGACAAAATGAAAAAGAAAACAATTTATAATGACAAAATATTTAAGCAATAAAACGTGAAAAACTAGAATGGCGCGAAGCACGCAAATAAAACAAAGAAACCAAGAAGGTTCCAAATTTAAATTTTTTCACAATTTAAAAAGTTCTAATCATAAATTTGGCACCATAGAGGTTACATTAAATAGGTTTAATGACGTTTTGAATTTACAATTATATTGAGTACTCATTATATGTGATGTTCTAAATTCAAATCTACTTTGCCGCTCAAGCGAATAAAATAGAATTTTCCAGCCAGATTTCGAAGCGCAAAATTACACTTTCCGAGGTGGTGGGATGAAAAGTATATTTAAATAAGTGTTGTCACTGTCAATTACTATGTAATTTTGTTTTTCAAGAGATGGTAAAGTGCTTAATTTTGGTTGAACGGTTTGTGTTGCTAAGGTTCATATTCGTAGCAACTCAGTCGAAATCATGATAGCGCTAACACTACTCTGTGATACACTACGAACATCACTACTATTGATGCGTGATAATAGCTTTTTTACAGTTGCTAAGTTCTCATTTCCCAAATAAGATGCACCGTCAACAGCTCTCCAAATTCACCTATTCTGGTATGAAGACTATTCCTATGGACGTAATTACCTAAGAAGAAAGTGATATGACCCGTGCACCACCCTAACCCACTGTAGATTAGTAAGTGCTTATGTCCGCAGATACAGCTGGGACTAATGACGACCCATCGTGCAAACCGAACAGGCTTGCCATTGTCATCATCATTAGCCTATTAATGTCCCTACTGCTGGGGCACAGGCATTCCGTTTGGAATAGGGAGAATGGGCCGTGACCGTCAGTGCGTATTAGTGGGTGCTAACGATTGCGGATGCAGCCGGGACCAACGGCTTAACGTGCCATCCGAAGCACGGAAGAGCTCAAGATAATAAGTTTTTGGTCACCGATCCAATGACCGACCATTGTGGAAGTTGCTAACTTCCATGATCGTAGGCCGAATGCGATAACCAATTCCGCCATCGAATTGTGTGTGTCAACAGGAAAATAAAAATTTTCTTTCTTTTGTTCACAGGAACGCTTACAGTAGAAGAGGTCTACAAGGACAGAGACCAGTTCGCCGGCCTAGTCCGCGAGGTGGCGGCACCCGACGTCGGCCGAATGGGCATCGAGATACTGTCCTTCACGATCAAGGACGTCTACGATGACGTGCAGTACCTGGCCAGTTTGGGCAAGTCCCAGACGGCGGTCGTCAAGAGAGACGCGGACGTTGGCGTCGCGCAAGCCAACAGAGACGCCGGTATTAGGGTATGTATAGAAATAGATAAATATTTGTAACATTCATACCGATTAAGATTAAGAGAGGTAGGATATAGCGGATTTCCGCTCGAATTGGAGCGCCCGTCTGGGGAAGTAACCTCCACCTTACAAAAGACTACAGTTAAATAACACCTTTTGGTTGTGTTGTGTTTCTGTCGGTGAGTAAGGTTCCAGGGCTCCACGGGGTACGGGATGCGGTCAGGATAGGCAATGGCGCTATTGATATTTTTTCTATAACAAGCTTCTTCTTCTTCTATAGGCTATGGTGATGGCCGCTTACCATCAAGGTATCATCTTACTTACTCATTTCTTTGTCGTACTATTCGTAAGTGGAATTCTTTGCCTGCGCACGTGTTCCCTCCTTCCTACAATCTGGGGTTCTTGAAGAGAGGCGTGAAAACGCATTTTTGCAGGCCGGCAAGGTGAGGATGGTTAGTGTAGCCGTTGTACCAGCTATCTTCGCGTTTGGACTTTATCATCACTTAACATCAGGTGGGGTAGAGTCAATTGCCTACCTAGCCATAACCCGTTTGTTGCCTTTGCCGTTTGTTTTTTGCCACCCTCTTAACATAAAAAGGATTTGCCTAGCCCAAAGTAAACACTGTAAGGCTTGTTATATGGGATGCTAGGGAAACACATTTAAATAGTTCTTATGATATATCAAGAAGTGTATTTTTTTTTGCTAGAAATATATTTAAGCAGCCATGGCTTAGGTTGGTCCAAATTATCGTATTCACCATACAAACATTTGCTCCACTTGTGATTCGAACCCAGGATCGCTGATTAGGAGACAACTTGAAAGCCAGTGTACTTATCACTCCCAACAAGGTCATCGTTAGGGTTTTTATCGGAAGATGCGGGTTCGAATTCTGTCTGAAACCTGGACTGAGTGGATTTTTTACTAGTAAAATTTTCTTTAGAAAAATATCATGAAATAAAAAAATCAAAAAGGCAGTAAAAACAAAGCCAAACTTAAATATTACTGAAGAGTTTCGTGTGTTTTACCTATTACATTAGATGAACCGCTATATCAACATATTAATCTTTTGTTTTTTATCTTCACTGTAATATAAGGCTCTTTAATGGATAGGGAACCACACAGTCCTAGTACAAATTAGAAGGTGCTTACGACCGTAACCGCAGCCGATATAATAGAAAAAAGATAGTGATAGGATATATCTTCAGTCTCTGATGAAACAAAAAAAGAAACAAGAGATTTGTACAAGGGCACTGGCTTATTTCATATTGAAATATCTTCCAGCAGGCCATCGAAATGATAGAATACAAAAAAAACGATTGTGTATTATAAAGGCCTTATAACATTTAATTTGTTAAAAAAAATATCTTAGTTACATAGCAAAATAAATTCACTCGAAACAACACTTGAACAATATCCGTAACAAGTTGTTTCAGTTAGCCAAACTTTGCCAGACGTTAAGCGTTCAAGTAAATTACAGCGTATTTATGATTCAAAGCGAGCAACTGAAAATTTAGCATTAATAGTATTTTTTGTACGTCCTTCCCTTTCAGGAAGCGGAGTGCGAAAAAAGTGCTATGGACGTTAAGTATTCAATGGATACGAGAATCGAAGATAACACAAGACTTTTTAAACTGCAAAAAGCACAATTCGACCAGGAAGTCAACACTGCTGTGAGTACCACTTTGATATGTCATTCTCTTTTATTATTTCAGTCAATCTATATAATGTTCTTCGATTGACATTATACACAGAATAACTTTTACGGAACAATCAGAAGATCACTTTAGCATGTGAGGTCCGCGCTATTTTGACGTAATTCCACCAATTCTCAATTAAGGAAATTCTTTTGAGGAAATTCATTTACTGAAATTCACAACACAACGTTCAAGTTTTGTTTTTTATTAATGACATATATATTGTAGGCTTTTCCTTGTTGTTTTTTATTGTATTAAGAAGACAGACACGTTTTTAGGATTGCTTCTTATTCGAAAATTCTCTGTCTTATTTTTTTATAAAGATTAGCATCTATACTCTATACTCAATAAATTGGATGAGATATTACGAGTGCTAATGCTCATGACGAAGTAGGGGCCATTAATATCACTCACTCTCCGGACTCGAATGCTAATCGACATCGTAGCGCGTTTAGCCACACTCAACAATAGACGTGGAAGAATCCTTAAAGGAATCACAGAAATGAAGAAAAATGTTTAAGATATTAAAAAAGATTTATGTTGGGTTTTTGCTTTTGATTTTAACAGTTGGAAGTTGACATTTTGCTGGGCAAAGAGATTAAATACGGATATTTTATTTGTATGGAGTACTTATCCCTGATCAATGTCTTTAGATTTTATTACATAATAAATCTAACGATAATTAATATATCTGTGATATTAGATTTTTCTTTGTTATTAATATTTATTTATTTCTATATATTTTTCGTGAGCCGATATCTTTTAAGTAACCGAATATAATTTTATTTTGTCGATGTCTGTAAAAAATATGGGCTTAATTTTGATCGTGAATTAAATGTTATGTGCTTAGTTAGGAACTATCAGGGAGCCTACCGCCTATCTGGATTGCTATGGCTATAGTTATCGCTTATGATTTTATTTTGTTATTTCTGACCGCCGAAGGTTTGCAAATGCCTCGTGCCATTTATTTTTCTTTTGCACTGATAAAAAAACCATATTAAAGAAAATTAGCATGAGGTATTTTAGTTGTACCTAATGAAAAAATCTTGACTTTATTATGTTCTATCACACGAATAACCACATCGTTAGAAATGTTCTTAAAGACTCCAGCATAATCGTTATATTTATAATACTATTTTCAGAAAGCCGAAGCAGCGTTAGCTTACGAACTCCAAGCTGCGAAAATCAAACAGAAAATCCGAAACGAAGAAATCCAAATCGAAGTTGTGGAGCGCCGTAAACAAATCGAGGTAAGGCTTAAGAATATAAATCCAACCGAAGCGTCGACGGTTGCATGACACTAATCTACGTTGCGAAAACTCTAGTACAATTTAGAGTTTCAAAAGTTTTAAATATTGAAGAAGATTAGCACGAATGTTTAGAAATACTAAGTACTTTATTAGCAGACGCCGTTTTACAAACAAAACTTTCATTGATGTTAACATTCTTTTCTTAGATTTCAAGATTAGAGACAATAGACAGTCGGTTTCTCATTTCGCCATCGTGATTCGTCCCATGACACCCTATTCTAAGCTGAAACTTTATTAAGAAAGTCTAATTTCTTTTCCCTTCGGTTTCATAGAATCTTTTACAAATTCGTAATTAGCGAATAGAAATTTAGTGTTGAAGCGAAATTCCTTATTGCATGGTACGGACTTGGCGGATAAGTACGATATGTCCGTCACGAACGTCAGCTGTTTCGTAACGTACTGTTTGTAGTTGTGTACTTATAGTCGTAACCAAGAACGACACACAATTTTTTGTTTTTGTTTTTCAGGCACTGTCCGCCTTATTTCAAATCGCGGACAAAAGTTAGACTTGGTTTAAACCTAATGATTCTTTTTAGCAAAAATAAGTATAAGTTTAAGTCCAGGTTTAACTGTAGTCTACGTTTTGTAATACGGCGGAATATCTTTTTATACTCAGTAGATTTAGTGCCTCATATAATTTAGTCTTCCACGAAAGTGGTATATCAAAACACGATTGTGCGTACAAATCATAATTCTATCCTTTCTTTTAGACAAGTCTAAAGAAAATTGTTCTTTATTCCTTAGGTGGAGCAGCAGGAAATTCTTCGTCGCGAGGAAGAGCTCGTGGCAACCGTGCGTCTACCCGCTGAAGCGGAGGCTTACCGTCTCCAGGCTATTGCTGAAGGAAAACGGTTAGAATTCTTAATTATTTTTGAAATATGACCTAATTAATTAACGCGTACGACTTCGTTCGCGTTAAGTTTAGTTTTTTGAGAATCCTATGGTCATAAACTATATGCCCACCAAATGTTACCCAAAACCGTTCGGTAATTTTTGCGTGATTGAGTAATAGTAAGATACTAACAAAATAAACTAAGTTGACTGATTGGCCAAAACGCCTTTCCGAGTTGGACACAAAATTAATATTTCTGGTGCTATCTTCCCTGGTTTAGTAACAGACTCTATTAATCTCATATGTAAGACATTTTAGGAGATGTGTCTATAAGGGTGAGAATCCTATATTAAATTCATCTACTTCATGCGCTACTCAACTTTGATCACCTACGACTCCCGCTAAAGATATGGAACACTAAACTTATGAGACGACGACGTGAAGATGTGCATGCCTGATTTGGGCATCCCCTATTCCTTTTACAGTACGCAAACATTAGAAGATGGCAAGTGTCTATGAGAGTGAGGTCTATTTTAAATTCATCTACTTTATGTGGTGCTTCTCAACATTGATCTCCTACGACTCCCGCTAAAGATATGAAACACAAAACTTATGAGACGATGAAATTATATAAACTTAATATGGGCATCTCCTATTCCTTTTACAGTACGCAAACAGTGGAAGGTGCCAAAGCTGACGCGGAGCGCATCAAGGTGCTGGGTCTGGCCGAAGCCACGGCCATCGGTGACGTGGGCAAAGCGGACGCGGAACGAATGCTGGCCAAGGCCAAGGTCTACAAACAGTATGGAGACGCTGCCATCATGGCACTGGTCCTGGAAGCTTTGCCTAAGGTAAGTTTGATTTTATGAACTCGTAAACGATGTTTGTCAGATTAATTACATCTGTTCGCACTCTTATTTGTAAATGTGAAGAATCTTAGTTATTGCGAGTGTGATATGCTTAATAAAATGGAATCACATTATAAGTCATTGCCTGTCCATTTGGATATCTACTTACTTAGAGAAGGAGGATGGGGAGGAGGAGGAGATTACTTATCTTGGCTTCTTGCACTTTGGAAATTAAGACTTGACTGTTTTGCTTCAGATCGCTGCAGAGGTATCGGCGCCGTTGGCTCGCACGGACGAGATCGTACTAGTTGGAGATTCCGGTGCTACGGGTGAAGTGGCCCGTCTCGCATCCGGCCTGCCACCCGCCATAAAGACTCTGACCGGGCTCGACCTCACCGCCGTGCTCAAACGTCTGCACCCCGCCGGTGAGTGTTCCCCCGTAGAGATACTATATCACTGTTATTTGTATTTATACTTACTGTGTGACAGCAATCAAAATGCAGGTGAACAATTAATGTATATTTCACATTATGTAATGAAGGGTGACTTCATGAATCATCTCTGAAGTCATTTTTTTTTTCGAAAAACAGCCCTTGCTGAATTTCTTGCCGGTTCTTCTCAGTACAAGGTCTCCCGCCGTAGATTTACGAACCGATGGCGTAGCTTCTAGACATTCGTGAGTGCTTGTAACAGCCTAAACTGAATAAATGATTTTAGTTATGACTGGAATACCTGAGGTACCCGCCAATTCGCGACTTGAGGTCCCATCAGGATCTCACCGTCCCCAAACCCAATGTTGGTGCAAAGGTATTCTGCGACCAACAACATACACACTCAAAAACATAAACACACGCACGTCCGGCCTGCCACCTACCATAAAGACTCCCCGGTCTCGACCTCACCGCCGTGCTTAAACGTCTGCACCCCGCTGGTGAGTGTTCCCTCGCAGAGATATGATGTCACTGGAATACCAAGGCACTCGCCAATTCGCGACTTGAGGTCCCATCAGGATCTCACCGACCGTCCCCAAACCCCATGATAATGCAAATGTATTCTGCGACCAACAACATACACACTCAAAAAACACAAACACACACACGTCCAGCCTGCCGCCCGCCAACAGGACTCACACCGGGCTCGAACTCACCGCGCCCCTCGGAAACCCTACGGCGGTTATGAAGTTAGCACCGAGCACAACAATCGCAGGTTTCAGTTCAGGGACATCCCGTGCGCAACTTCATCACTCTACACAGTGCCGTCTTTGACCTATTGGAAGCCCTGGGCATATTAGGTTAATGGGGCCCCTATGGCCCCCGTTTGGTGATCTAACAAAAACTAGGGACTTTGTATTTGTGATCTGAGGTGCCCACCTATCGATCACGGGGCCCTGGGCACTTGCCCAAAGTGCCCACTGGGAAAGACGGGTCTGACTCTACATTTCGTTTACTGCGCCGTGACTTGCGCTACCTTCACAGCTGTCATTTTTGAATCGCGTTATACTTCACAGCTTCGTTTAGAATTTTTTTTTCCTTTTTAATTAAATTCTCCCATGGAGAAGACAACAGAGACTTAGGCCGTTTGTTCACTGCGACCGTCACCGGGACGTCAACGGAAACGAGATGATGGCACCGAAGAAGCGACACATACATTTACTATAGCTGCTTGTTCACCGCAAGCCCGTCACGTCATCTTGATCCCATACAGAAATAATATCGTTCTCGTTGACGGGGCCGGTGGACGACCCAAGACCATACACCTCAGCTTTAGTTTTGTATCTAAATTAAGTGAAGTTATCAAATTTCCAACACTTATGCCGGAAAACACTTTACTTTCAGAAGATGGGGCCGGTGTTAACTCAGCAGCCGCTGCTCCCAAGAAGAAAGAAGTCACTGTGTGTTAAGAAAACACTCCGCCATCTTCGATGCCTTACCACCGGTCAGTCCCTTTCCATTTTCCCAAAGCCACACACGACAAAACAGTGACGTAAATTAAACAAGAATCGAACCTACAGAATGATAGAATAATTTTTATTTTTGATTTCTTATGCTTATCAACAAAGTGGGGTTAATTTGTTTTTAAATTATTACCTCTTTTTTAACGTTCTTAAAATCAAGATCTATCAATATAGCATTGCGGAAATGTGAAAAAATCAATAATAAAAAGTTCTATTCTTATTTCTTTCTTTCTTTATTTTTAACAATTGATTTTTCAGTCGAGCAATGACTCTATCTTTTATTATAATAATAATAATTGATTGCACAAAAATATGATATAAAAGGTGTTCAATTATTATCATGTGTTTTACTGTTAGACAGCATGTAACAGTTTATTTTAGCAACCAAGTATGAGCTTTACAATTATCTATATTAAAAAAGTTATTTTTCATTACTGTATTTTAAATAGATAACATTAGTAATGCAGTTTCACTATTATATTTATTAGTATTTACTCAATAAACTTCAGAATTAGTAGGGAGTACTAAAGTCGTGTGTGATACCTCTCATCCCACCTCAATTTTATATATCATCTTTGTTATATTGTGGTTAAGTTCTTAAACAATAAGTTTGCCGTATTATATATTATTTCATAAGATTGGACTTTTCATACTTTAATTAACAGCAATAGTTTATATGCTCTGTTTACCTCAATACGATTGTTTCATACATTTGTATGCTTCATACAGTACAAGTAAGAACAAAAGCGTAATCTAACTCTAATATTGATACATAGTTTTTGTATTAAATATTTATATTTTGTAATTCGTTAGCGTACAATCTTAGTACAAAGAAGCTGGTATAGTTTACTTACAATAGGTATTGTTTTTTTTATGTATTTTATATTAATATAAAATGAAGTCTCAATCGTGATAATAAATGTTTAACATTATTTATTTAAATATAAGGTATTTATTTAAAACAATAGAAAGTAGATTTCATGTTGTGAGTGGTTTGATACTTGCGGCGTAGTTGTGTCAATGTTAATGGTGCTCTGGAAATATCTGCACCTAATACCAATAAAATTACCTATCTTAAATATTAATCGACACTGTTGAAGTTAATTTCAAAAGTTACCATGTGTTAGCAGTAAGACTGCCAACACTAAAATCGCTATTACATAAGTAGTATCAGTTTTAATACCACCATATAATTAAGTAAATAAATAAAAAGACAGGTCAATGAATAATTCAACCATCACCCAAAGAGTAACAATACGTGGATATATCAATTTAACTCGTTAACTTATCAAATACTCAATGTTTAATTACAAGAATTACCTTTTCTATAAAGATAATATGTAAAAATATGTGCGACGATTGTATGCTAAATTTCATGTTTGTAATGATTAATAGGCAATTTCTCAGAATATTTTTATTAGAGTACAATATGAAGAGTAATATATATACCAAAATTAGATTTTGTACAACTGTTTAGAGAGATAAACTTGCTTAGACAAGTCTGTGCTAATGTGTAGGAGTTTCGAAGTGTTCTATATTCAAGACACTGCCTTTAATTAAATGAGTATAAACTTATTTTTTTAATGTATGTCGTAGTATCCAAATTGTAATTTAAAGAGACTTTCACTCTCTGCTACAAGTATATGGATCTATTTTATAATGATATTGTAGTGCTTTTGGCTGCGTTTATACTATTTGTGTGAAATGTTACATTTGGTATAATTGAATTATTTTTTAATTTCATTTTAGTACAAGAATTTAAAAGAACTTACTGTGGACAAGTATAAAAAATATAAATATTATAATTACTAACTCATTAATAATTTAATATAATTGCAATTATAAATTGATTTGATTTTAATTTGTGTGCGTGTTTGTAATAAATGTTTATTTTTTGGAATAAAAATGCGTTTGTTTTTCCTCAATTATTATATTAGTTAAAACTAAAAAGTACTATCTAATTCTTGTCGTGATTCGGATTATACAGTTCTCCGCGTATGTTGGTCTTCATAAGCTGAAAAAAGGGAAAGTTATTTTTAATAATGCAGCTATACTCAGCGATGTTAATTATAAATTTAATGATTGTCGAATAGACAGTAACTTTTCTTTAGCTTTGAAAGACTATGATTTAACAAAGAAAGTGACCGAAGCAAATTAATAAAAAAATAATGTTTCTTATAATATTCCTAACCGACTTCCAATAAAAAGATAAAATGAGGTGGTTCTTTACACATCGTTAAGTATTTTGAAGCTTTGAACTGCTACGATTTACTATGCCTTAGCAATGTTCCCGTAGCTCATTGACATTGTATTTAGCGCCTTCGATCCATTATAGTGAAAGTAAAGCAACTTTATCAATAGCCAGTAACAGGATGGGTGACCAAAAATTTATTGTCTCAATCTCCTCCGTACTTCAAAAGGCTTGTTAGCATTATGCAGTTGACATTACCTACCAATTCGCGCGGAGCCTCCTGATATGAAATCAGAAATCAGAAATCAATATAATTATCTTTATTCAAATTGGATGTATAGTACAACTCTTTTGAATCGTCCAAAAATTTTTTTTCCCTACCACTCGTTATGGACATATTTTTTAGCTGCGGAGAAAAACGAGCGAAAAAAACTCCACAACATTAAAAGTCTAATGTAACAACATTTACAAATCATTATGTTGTTACAACGTCAATACAATTATGATTTATTTAATATAGAAAACCTGTTGGAATGATTGGAACAGTTCAAACCCAAGCATTTTTGTCTGTAATATAATCAGACACTTTGTAATAAGCTTTTTTAATAAGTGTTTTTTTTATAATATCTTTAAATTTATTTATGGCTAACTCTTGGATATTGCTTGGGACTTTATTGTATAAGCGAACACAAAGACCTTTAAATGAAATATTAATTTTGTGAAGCCTAGTAGCAGGTAAAGTTAGTTTATTTTTGTTTCTTGTATTAATTGTGTGAACATCACTGTTTTTAAGAAACAAATTAATATTTTTTCTTACAAGTAATAAATTTTCGTATATGTATTGTGATGCGACCGTCATAATTCCAAATTCTTTAAACTTTTCTCTTAACGATTCTTTAACTTTAAGATTATAAATTGATCGAATAGCTCTCTTCTGCAGCACAAAAATAGTTTGAATGTCGGCGGCATTTCCCCACAATAAAATTCCGTACGACATTACACTATGGAAATAACTAAAGTACATTAATCTGGCCGTATCTACATCCGTTAACTGGCGTATCTTCATTACGGCATATGCTGCAGAGCTAAGTCTATTTGACAATTTATCAATATGTGGGCCCCATTGAAGCTTAGAATCTAAAGTTATCCCTAAGAATACTGTGGTGTCTACAAGGCCCACATTCCTATCGTTTACATACAAATTTCATACATTTCGTTTTTCCTTCATTAAGAAAATTTATATAATAATAATTAACTATCTCGAGCTCCTTCGTGCTTCGGAAGGCACGTTAAACCGTTGGTCCCAGTTGGATCTGCAGTCGTTAGCACCTACAAATCCGCACAGTAGCTGCGTGGAAGGCCAGCGCTCAATCTCCATATTCCATCCATAGGGAAGGCCGGTGCCCCAGCAGTAATAGGTTGATGATGATTAAGTATAAATAAAATGGGTATATTTATATATTTTATCTATTGAGCGAGACCACCTGATGCAAGTATCTCAAAGTTCAAGTTCTCCACCTCTAAAATTGTATACCGACGACTTTAATAACATAAATAAAACTTAGGTTTTTTTTAATTTGTTAAATATTCTTACCTCCACTTTCTGTTCGTAGCTGAGTTCAGTCTTGCTAAGCACATATGACAATTTCGCCCACGTCGCCTCTGAGGTCATGTCGAATGCAGGTACCACACCGCATTCCAATAACAACTGTAATAAATACCACACATAAGATTGAAATTTCAAATATAAATTCCATTGCAGTCAGCCCAAAGAATGTCTATGCTGCGTTTCCACTTAAGCTCAACCCCTTCCACTTAAGCTGAAACACCCTTAGTACGAGTTTTACAATTACGAAAACTATGATAGTTTTCGTGAACTCAAACTCGTACTGAGGGAACAGTTCTGAACGAGCAAAATTTTGTTCGCTCGGTAAAGGGAAACATCAGAGCGAGCGAACAAGTTCGTACAATGAATGATGTTTAAACTTTGGCTGCTCTCTTGCTCAGTCATCAATAAACCTTCTTAGAGCCGGGTACTCATTAGCGAGCTGTAACCGTAACCATTGCATGCACTGAAACAAAAAAGCATAGTGTGTACGTGGTTCGTTAACCTGCTGTGAGCGGTACGTGTGCGGTTTGCAGCGAGCCGACGCTTCCAACTGAGCTACAAGCGTACACACTAGAACCTCGTACTGTATCACGCATGTTACGGTTACAGCTCGCTAATGAGTACCCGTATTAGTAGACTTTACCCGCGAATAAGTCCTCGTGAAATTCCAAAAATAACTGAAACTACAGCTTCATATTCGAGGTACCGTAGCCACTCTTAACAAAGCTTGATGGCGCAGGTGGTAAGCGCGTTTAACCTACGATCGTGGAATTTAACCATTTTCGCAATGACCGATCATTTGATGGGTGACCAAAAACTTATTATCTCGAGCTTCTCCGTACTTCGGAAGGGATGTTAAGCCATTGGTCCCTCCTAAATCTGAAGTCGTTAGCACCTACCAAGCCGCACTGGGCCCGCGTGGTGGGTCACGCCGCAATCTCCCTATTCCATTCATAGGGAAGGACTGTACCCTAGCTAAGGGGACATTAAAAGGCTGATGATGAAAAGAGTGAAATGTAAAACCAGGTTTTATAAGAGAGGAATTGAGAGTGTTGTCCAATACAAACAAATATTGATGTTATGAAAGGAAGATGGTAGAAATTGAAATTCTAGTGTTGGCCAAGAAGTATCACGCCATCCCTTAGCAACACCCATGGAAAACGCACCTTCAATAGAAATATACATAATATCAAATATCTTACCAGGCCCGTCTCGTACAACGGTTTGCCTAAAACGGTCCCGTTGATGCACTGTGTGACATTCACAACGAGTATCTTGTTCTTCACGGCCCTCTCGATTTCCTTGTATATCTCTTTCCTCTTGATTGGAATGTTTCCGTTTCCGTAAGTTTCTAAAACTAAACCTGTACACGAAAGATGTAAAGTATTAAAATCTATCTGTACTAACTAATTATAAAAAGGAAAGATTTGTATTTTTTGGTGATTGTTTGTAACGGATAAACTCAAAAACTACTGGACCAACTTCAAAAATTATTTCACCATTAGAGTGCTACATTACCCCAATTAAAGCCGGGGCGGACCACTAGTTTTTAATAAAAAAGCTTTAAGTGCGACTAGGACTCGTATCCGGGTTTTTTTTTAATTTTTAAACATATTTTATTTTCATAAATTATTCATTAAAGCTGCTACAGAAAATGCCTAGGGTCACTGTCATTATTTACAATGGCTCGAGATAACCTTTGGGTACAGTAACAAAAAATAAGTAAAGCATTTTGTGTGCTCCTCCTTTCAGAAGTACTACATATTTGAAGTACTTGCACCTTTTGAAGTAGTAAAAAAAACCACTAATCGGCCTCGGCTTATAGTCGGGTCCAAATCGTCAGTCTTTTCACTTTACACGAAAAGTTTCAGATGGATGACGATATTTTTTTTATCTGCTGTTTCCATAGTGTGGCTTTACAAAGGGCAGAAACAAAAAATTATCGGGCACATGAAACATTGAGAAGGGATGTTGCGTGAATCCTCCAGTAGCCCCTATTCCAAAAATCATGGCTGATTGTCGAATTTTTTTTGCTGCCCTAGCGTTTCCTATTTACAGGGCTCAGGTATGGTAGGAGTACTTCACAAGGTGCAGGATTTCCCCCCTTATGTTAATCTGCCGCACAAATCCCCGCTTGGGCTCCCCTACAAACAATTTGGCATACAGTTACTAGGTCCACCTATAATTTAAAATTGAAGGTTACCTTCCATTCCCTCGCAAGCTGCCCTGATGATCTCTGGAGTGATTGTGGGAGCTACTTTCAACACGTATACTTTTGTTGAGAGCTTGTCATGCACTCTGCACACATTTGGGACAGAGCCCACTGGATGGATCAACATTTTAGGGTCCACTTCTAAAGTAGTTTTCGCTTCGAGTAGCGGTGGGAAGTTTGGCGAGTCGAACGCATAGATTCTAGTGTTGGAGACCTTCTTTACTCTGTATGAAAAGAGGGATAAATTCAGTAAGCTCATATAAAAATTATAAAGATGTAGCAGAAAAAAGAATATTGCTTAGGGTACATTATCAAAAAAATTGTTGGTTTTATGATTATCCTTCTAATATTTTAAACGTGAAAAATTTGTAGGTATGTTTGAACGGATTAAATTGAAATTTGGTATGGGAACACGTTGGGTTCCTGAGGGATTTAAAAAAAACTAAAGTGAATGCGGACGAAGTTGCGCTTGTTAAATCATAATTTTAAAACCAGACTCTGTAGATACCTTTATCAATTATTTATGCTGTCTTGCTACAAATTCAAATCATTTATTTACAAGAAACAAATGGTAAATACCTACAATACGGATTTTATAACAAGTAGTCCGCCATGCTTGACATATGCTTATTTTATGGCTTGACAAGAGGATATATACGAGTACTCAATATATAATTTTAAATGTAAGTTCTGATGATTCCCTGTCCTTAGAGAGACATTAGTTCTGTAGAAGTCCTGTTATCTCCCGTCAGGGCAGACGAGTCCGAAGACGAAATTTACGCAGAAATTGCTCATTAGAAATCGAGTTTGAATAAGGCCAGATGGCCTTACTCTTAAATTACAGAACAAAATGAGGCCTTTCACAATAGGTTTTGTGTCGAGAGATCTAGTGCAATAAAAATAATCTACGCGTGCAATAAAATAAGATCTGTAAGTAGAAAAGGAGGTAACGCTTGCGTGATAAAGTGATATAAAGTTATATTTTTACCTTGTGCCTCTGAACAACTTCGCTCCGAAGAATACTGTGACCTCTGGAATGCGTTGGGTGGCGGCTATCAGTAGTGCACAGAGGAAATTGTTGTTACCGTCGCTTCTGGGTTGGAAGATCGGCACCTGGCACAGTGAATATGAGATTTTAGTGACGTCATCAACGTCAATGACGATATAGATCAGTAAGCAGAATAGAATTAAATAATTTATCAAGCTGATATATTTTCGTTTTTACATCTTAAATTCTGATATTTTCGGACTTTTTTTAGGTCCCAAGTCACATACAAGACTCCTTTCTATTAGAAGACGTACATCATTTGTTAGTGGAATGACGGTAGCACCGTCAACAGGTAATGTTATTTTACCTTATCTTTTTTAAGGTAGAGGTTACTTCTCGAGAGAGGGGCGCTGCAGTTTGAGCGGAAAATCCGTTATGCCCTAATTTCAAGGATTTATTTGTACGAAGTTGTAAAATACTCTAACATAACCAACCTGTGCTCCTGTGAGTACTACAGTTTTGCCTACTGTCTCCAGCATGAAGGATAAGACGGAACCGCCATAAGCTGTTGTGTCTGTGCCGTGGAGGAGCACGAATCCATCGTAGTCATGGTAGAACCTCTGCAAAAATCACCCCAATATCATTGCTCCGAGTGTTCACTTTTGTTAGGAAAAAGTTTTCTGTCATATTAACTAGTATAATTTAAATCATAAGGCCAAAGGCGCGTTATTATCAGTCTATAATATCGGATGTGTTATTACGCTAACGCTCCCTATTTCTATTGCTTCAAAGTCATTGCGACGTTATTATCGAAGCAGTATGTAACTTCGTAGCCGTTCTAAAACAAAATGTAGGTTCTAAAAACAGATATCGCATTAACGCATAACGGGGGAAGGCCTGAACGAAGAAAAATAAATAACAAAATACTGTCGATAAAAATATGGAAAACAAAGAAACTTAAAGGAGGTGTAATACCTATGATATTAGTTTTTAAAAATAAGTTACCTTAACGTCACGTGCCATTTTTATCCAATCGTCAAGAGTGAAGTCTGAAGAGTCCTTGAGTTCATCATACTCGTGAATTTTGTATAACACTTTCAGTTCTGTATCCTTTCCATCTGCAAAAACGTATTATTGGATTTTGTTTGCTTGCAAAAAAATGGTGAAGTCTAATTTTTTTTGTACCTGTATTAAAAATATTTATTACAAGTAAACAGCTTATTTATAAAGATATCTTTATTGTAGAATTTATTAAGTATGATGTAGAGTTCTCGTAAATATATTTTAAAGGGACGATTTAATAAAAATCTGCGAGTTTATTGGAAACTAGTTTTCCCTCTGTGGCTTCGCCTGTGTTAATATAACAAATGAGCTCATGACTAGAAACTAAATTTATGGCTTTAATTTTAAAAGATATCCCTCGAATTAAAAAAACAACTAAATTCCATCCTCATCTTTTCGCTTAGATTAAAATAATATGTATCATCAAAATTTTAAAATTTGTAATAAAAAGACTTTTATCCTCTAATTTAACTTATTAATGAAGAATTTTCAAAATCTTTTGCTCTCAATGCTCACGTGATTAAAGAAATGTGCATTCTTCTCTACGTATCGAATGAGGAAGGAGGAAATCTGTAGAAGAACGTGAGTGACCGACATAGCTGAAAGGATCGCCAAGCTGAAGTGGCAATGGGCGGGGCATATTGTTCGGCGAACCGATGGACGTTGGGGCCCCAAGGTGCTTCAATGGCGACCTCGCACCGGGAAGCCCTTCGGTAGACTCTTCACCAGGTGGATTGGCGACATAAAGCGAGTCCGGGAGACCTACTGGATGCGGAAAGCGCACGACCATGTTTGGAAATCTCTAGAGGAGGCCTATGTCTAGCAGTGGGCGTCCATCGGCTGATTATCATGATGATGATGCAATGCTTCTCATATAGGACCTAGGTAGTAAACTTAAGTGACGTAGATACTACTCGATTACTTTATTTTAGTTATTTTCATAGTGTGATGTCGTACGGTATTTTGCTGTGGGGAAATGCTGCCGACATTCCAACTATCTTTGCGCTGTAAAAGCGGCCTGTTCGATCAATTTACAATCTTAAGACTAGAGACTCTTGAAGAGAAAAATTTAAAGAAATCGATATAATGACTGTTGCTTTTCAGTACATTTATGAAAATTTAATGTATGTTCGAAAAAATATTACATTATTTCCTCTAAATAGTGAGAATAACCACTCGCTTAATACTAGAAATAAAAATAAATTAGCAGTACCAATTATAAGGTTCCACAAAATCAATAATTCATTTAAAGGCCTTTTGTGTACGCTTCTACAATAAAGTCCCGAGCAATATCCAAAAATTAAGCATCAATAAATTTAAAACTACCATTAAAAGAAATTAATAAAGGCTATTATAAAGTGTTTGATTATATTTCGGACAAAAATGCTTGGGTTTAAACTGTTCCAAACTTTCCGGCAGACTTTTTCTATAATTATGATGAAGAAGAAATGATTTTGTATTGACAGTGTAACAATATATTTTTTTCTTAATATTGTTACATAATTATTTGACGCTGTAAAGTTATTTTCCCCAGTTTTTCTCCACAGCTAAAAAAATGTCCTTATCTGGTGGTAGGGGAAAAAATATGGACGATTCAAAAGAGTTGTATTTTGCATCCAATTTGAATAAAGATATTTTGATTTTAGACTGTTGCCTTAGAAAAACTTGTTTATTTGATCTTAAATAGTAAATTAATTTTACAAAACTTACCAGGCAAAGCTAGGTACTCCTTCATATCTGTCCCTGCCAGATGCTGCTTCCAATATTCATCGTCATGCAGCTGTGGCAACTTACGAATGACTTGTTCTATGTTTTTTTGTGGTACCAGCACTGGAAAAAATATGACAAAACGATATAAACCAACAGTTATTTACTGTACATAGATTTTTTAAATAGGTCACTAAATATTCTGCTTATATTGTGTTACCTACTCTCGTCGCAGAAAGCTAATAAGTACACAAAACTAAATAGATAGGTATGTGTGTACACTGTAACTTTTGAAATTTTTTTTTTATCCGTTTTCGTTACCAAGATATTTTTACTTGCATTTCCTCTAAACACAATTGGTGTGCAAAACCCAAAAAAGACAATCGTTAGGGCAGTTTTTATTCCTGTAATTCTAGTGTAACTATGTATGTAGATAAATTGAAGTTTTTTGTTTTTGGTGAAAAAAATCTCACCTCCTTTTTCATTTTTCAACATTCCAAATGTTCCCCCTGTGTAGATGGCAAGAACTTTTTTAGTTTGAACCATTTTAACTCAAATATTTAACTTTTAATAAGCACAGTATGACCTTCACTGTTTTATCACTTTTAAATAGGGTATCGGTAAGACGTTTAACTGGCACAAATTCACTGATGTAAATAAGTTATAGTTGATTACTGCACTCTATAATATATACAAATTTGCTTGGAGTAAGATACTGTATCTCGTTTGTTATTATCATTATCATGTTTTTATTTTCAGATATGTTACCGTGACGGATACATATTATGAAAAACTAATATTAGGTAATATTAAAATGAAGATTTTTCCTTAATTTGATATGACGCTAGATAAAATAATGTGTTTTTTTCCTCCTTCGATGAAATGTGGCGGATAACCGATTGACGTTTGCATCTCATCTCAAGATAGTTCGTGATCGCGCCGCATTCATTCGCGGCAGGCTATTCCACCTCATAGGGAAGCGTAGTAAAATGTCACTTAGGCATAAGTTGACAATTAACAAAACATGCATTCGCCCTATCATGACCTACGCAAGTGTTTGCTTTGCCCACGCACCTCCGTCGCGTCTTAAACCATTACAAACGCTGCAAAATCGTGTGTTGCGCGGAGCCACGGTTTGCCCATGGTACGTGCGCAACATCGATTTGCATCGCGACCTCAAGTTGGACTCCATCGCGAAGTATATGAAGAATGCCTCGAGACTTTACTTCGATAAAGCCGCGCATCATTCGAACCCCTCAGTAGTCCAAGCCTCTAGCTATCACACGTCCACCCTCCCGTCCTCCAATCGTAGGTCCCTCCGATTCCGTCGGCCTAGGCACGTTTTAGAGTATCCCAACGACGAAATAACGAACGTCTGCGCGCTCCCTACTCCTCCCACACAGTCCACTAACACCAATACTGTGTAGTGTTGGTGTTGGCGCTTGCAACAGTGCTTGCAGTGACCATGAAAGTTTAAAACTCTTTGTTGCACTCAAGAACAACTGCAACCTGATATGATACAGCTATTTATCGATATTTACTTATGAAAATCCAACATATTTTTTCAAATGTCTCTAAAATAGGTGTTATCATATCGTATTTCAGTGATCATGCTACAAGGGCAGCAGAAACTACATCAAAGAACATCTCAAAGCTGTTTAGAAGCTTCCTACCTATTTAACACTTAGCGTGAAACAAAAAAAAATGAACAAATAAAGTTCAAGTAAGCAATTCACTATTATAGACTGGACTTTAAAGTTTAATATAAACTTGAATATTGTTATTTCTTCAGTTTATATAAAGTTTATAAAAGTCAAAAGCTCCTATAATCTGCACCTGCAGTGCCATTCACTAACTATAATTTTTATTTACCTCTTTTTCAGAAACCTTGCCAAAGGTTAATAGACTGTCATTGATTTAACGCATAGACTATGGTTTTCTGAGTATGGTGTAGATTAAGAACTTTGTTATTTTTGCTGTTCTTGCTGAATACCAAATCTGTTCGCAAATCTACGTAGGAAGTACTTGTACTTCAGAGCCGGAAACGCATGATCGGTACCCGGATCCGATCCAACCCGATCGGATTTTGAAGTGAAACTCTAATTTAGACTTGGGGGGGGGGGGGGGGGTATTAGGATTTGCTGTCACTAAAAAGCGTTACCACCACGTGGAGGAAGTAGACGATATACCGAGCGGTGAGAGGCGGCAGCAGCGGAGGGAGAAAGGTTTCACTTCTACTATGTGTCCCAGCACACATTTAAATTTTTTTGTGATAAACTCAACAAACAAACAAAATTAAAGTGATTTTATAACAAACCGTTTATGTTTAAATGAATTCTAATTGTAGTGGTTGTTCATGATAAATTAAAAAAACCGAGACGAAACGGCAAGAAACTCTGCAAGGGCTGTTTTATTTTCATACCTGGGTACTCTAGGTGCTGTCTGCTCATACCTCCTAATCTGAATAGGACGTGAAGCCTACATAAAGTTGATTATGATTACGTTTAAAATCATTTTCCTCAACAGCTCGGATGTTATCAACACCATGTCGGTAAAGTGAGCGTCATATTTCATCATGAGTATAGTGTTATTTAATACCGCTGAATCTTATCTTTATCGTTAAAAAAAACATGTTCATTGTTACCGTAATAGAGATGTACCGTCTAGTCGGTAACTAGTCAGCCAAAATTGCCTAATAGTCGGCTCTTATTTAATTTTTATTTCAAATGTATGGAAAATTTTACTTGAAAGAATTCCGCTCGAATAGCTATGGGGCTGTACCATTGTACAGCATTGGGAGGGGGGGAATCAACAAACGAGAGGCAGTTCAAAATGCCGTTGAAGTACGTGTTTTTCACGTCCAGCAGACTTTTACAAAAAGCTACCACTACGTTGGCAAAAATGCATTGATAGTACTTTGATTAATAAAATAAAGAAAAAAAAATCTGATTGACTTAAATTTCATTAAAAACGAAAATTTCGTAGGTAAAGGTGATGACCTAATATTTACTTTGTCTAATTTGCGTTATGTTTACCATAAAGATTACACTGGCTATCATGAAAGGCCCACATGCAAAATTTTTTGATACATTTTGCGTTGGATACAATATTCTACTAGAACTTATTATACTTCTTCCATTATGGGGTTATAAAAAACGCTGTCTTTTATACCGCGTGTTTTCGACTATATTATATGAAAATTATCGCAGGAAAGATTACTATAAAGGACGATGTTAAAATTGGCCTAAGAACCAACATCAATTTGCCATTTATGATAATTCTTAGTATATTTTTTGCGATAATTATCAGTATTTAGATTGTGACGGACACTTCCAGTAAAGTAAGCTAAATTAAAAAGTTAAAAAATAATCTGAGACAATAAATACCATTTTATGTGTATAATCTATGACAGGGCTGCAAACAAAACACTCTTTCTTCCTAATGCCGGCACTGCACTTGGCTATTCGTATTTGCTATTTTAAAACATGACATCAGTCTGTCCTTTTCATTCCTTATTAAGCATGACAAGGACAAACTGTTGTCAAGTGAAGGGCCGGCATAAAACTTGTTACTCTGTGGTTGTGGTGCAGGCAGTTTGTATTCGTAGTAATCTGTGGCATTCGTGCATCCCAAAGAGTAGTTTATTTTTAATATACCGGAAAGTGCATTCTCGTTTCGGATTACCTGTTGTGTGCGATTGTTTTTCCTTAATTTTAATTATTTCGGCTATCTAATATGCCATCGATGTTACCAAAGAGTAGAGCCCTTATTACCAAGTGCTAGTGAACCTGTGCCACAACATCTGAGAGGATCATACTGCCAAATTATTCAAGAACACCTGATATACATTCACGCTGCATATTTACACAATATACATGTGATATACAAATAAATACAATATGATACAATTATGTGAAAAATAGTCAATAAATAAGAAGCAAAACTACAGTTTCTATTTTATTCATGATTCCTACCGAACCAAGTTTTTTCCTAATAGTTATTCTTTAAAATCGCACCGAATAAAATGAATTAGTTGTAATATTAATTCACTTCAAACTGAGTTCATACGAAGTTTCATTGAATATTAAACATAACCTCAAAAAAAAAATTAGTTTTCCTAATAATTTAAGTTCTCAGAAGTGTCCATCAATAATCTTTGTTTTTACAGTCATTCACTTACGATTTCGAACCTAGAAAATAATATTTCATTATTGTTGGTTCTTAGGCTAACTATGTATGGACGCTGAACAATGTCCTTTGATTATATCTTGTCTCACATAATATTAAGTGAAGACTCGATCTCAGACGGATCACGATGATCTCATGCATGAGAAAGGAAAGCTGTGATTATCTGCTAGGATATCAGGGACAGATATAGATACTAACAGTACATGCGAATGAGTAAAAGATTCCATATTTTAGATGTTCGCACATGAAAGAAGAAGAGATGTCCAAAAAAGAACTTGCGATGGACGCGCTACGGACATTGCCGAATATTACTGGAAATTATGCCAAATAGTCGGCCAGACGGAGGGGCCGTTAAAGTCATAATAGGCACATCTCTTTAGTGAAATTATCATGATTAATTAAATTTAAATTATGATGCGATAAATTATTTAATTGACATTGTATAATTTAGGTATGACAATCTATAGAGGATGACTGTCAACTTTCTGTTATTGCGCTGACTATTTATTGTAGGTAAGCCCAAGCGGGGATTTGGGATTTACTCGAGCGCGGCAGAATAACATAATGCTGCCCTATACGTTCGGCTCTACATAAGGGGCTCAGGTATGATGGAAGTGCTTCACAAGGTGCAAGGTTGCCCCTATTATGTTATTCTGCCACGCTCGAGTTAATCCCAAAATCCCCGCTTGGGTCCCCCCTACCATTAGGGCACATTCAGGAGTGACTGTTTGTAAATCAAATCATTCCGGCCCCAATTATTTAGAGGAGCTCGATGGCACAGTTGTTTAGCGCATTGGGTCTTGATTGTGGAAGTTAAGCAACAGCCGCAATTGCTAGATTGGTTAGCAAAAACATGTTATCTCGAGCTCCTCCAACCAAGTTAAGCCTTAGGTCGTGGCAGCATCTGCAGTCGTTAGCATCCACCAATATGCACAGGGCCCGCGTGGTGGGTCATGGCCCATATTCCTTATAATATAAGAACGGCACATTCTAACCAAGGGGCTGTAATAGGACGTATTATTATTATAAACCTGTATTACGAACGTGTTGGCACTACGTGATTTATGTCGTATGTTAATACATAAAGATGACAATATGTCAGGTGCATCAATAGAGTAATGGAGCAACTTATGAAGATAAAGTAGATCGTATCTTTTCCGCCGAGATGCCAGGGAAATTGTTCTAAACTTAGACAACCTTTGATTGTTTGCTTTTAAAGATCTACCGAGGCCATGTTTGTAGGAAAGGTATCTTAAGCATCTTTTTTGAACCTTTTCCAGACCATCTACATGGACTTCATAATATGGAGACCAAACAGGGCAGCAGTACTCTAGGACACTTCTAACTAAACTATTAAATAGGCACAGAAAGCTTTGTGTTTTAAATTCCTTTGTAGTTCTTATTATAAATCTCAAGAGCTTGCGACTCTTCTTTATATATCATAAAAAAGAGTTTATAAGTAATGAATATAAAGAAAGTTTGAG